TACTGATAACATCATTTGTTATAAATAATTAAAATAGAAATCAATTTATTATTTTTTTTTATCTTTCTCGTAGACTTTTATATATCTACAGAACGTCTTCATATCAGACATTAAAGATATGCAAATCTTGAATATTGTTGCATGCAGTGGTGCTTTTAACATTTATCTTTACATCATGTACCGTAAGTGATTTAATCACTCTTTTAATGTTTTTACATGTGTGATAAACAGTATAGTGTTAGAAGGAGATAGAGGGAGAATAGTGTATGCGCTTTTTTCAGTAAGCACAGGAAGTCACACATTTCTATATACAGACACAAAAAAAACTACAAATTTACTCATGTGATTTACCCTGTTTACCCAAATGAGAACTATTTACCCATGTTTATGAGCAAAACAAAGAATAAAACTTGCTTTGTGAGAGAATTAGGCTTTTGCTGCAAAGTGTTTTAGTGGCTCAGTGTGCTACTTTCTGTACACTGAAAGTAGTGAGAGGCAACTGTGGCTGACAAGTACAAAAAAAAATTATTAATTAAAATATAGCTGTTTTCTATGTGAATATGTGACACTGGCTGTGAAAACCCAGATAAAGTAATTTATGGTGATTTACTGTTTTCTACATCAAGTCATTCTTCATAAGGTTAAGAACATTCTGTGAAAATGTTACATTGATATCTTTAATATTGACTGAGTAAGACCATGTCAAAAATTGATATCATAAATATTAATGAAATTAATGGTTGAAATCAAAATTTGATGCTTGTTATCTCATAATTAGATTTTGAGACTTTAGCCTGGATTTCACAGAGAGGGTCACATATGTTTTAAAAAGTAATTTATTGCTGAATAGACAGTTCAAAAGAAATCTTCATTATAAATGTTTTCACACACACACACACACACACACACACACACACACATGTGCATCAAAGTAAACTCTCCTACACTGCCAGCAAAGCATTGATTTTCAGCATGTTTAGCCTTTTAATGTCTATTATATTCTATTGAATGCAGATATTTATATAAACATAGTGCATCCAGTGGGGCTCGAAAGTCTTTGTTTGTTTAAAGCATAAAATAAACCAAAAGTTTTAAACCAAAAAAAAAAAAAAAAAGTTATAAAGTAAATTTATGATGAAATTTCTAATCAATTGTAAGTAAGTTTGTGACACTGACCATGTGATATTCCTTTGTGCTGAAAGAACAACATTTTCAGTTCATGATGCTGGATAACAGGGTCACATATGTTTTAAAAAAGTAATTTATTGCTGAATAGACAGTTCAAAAGAAATCTTCATTATAAATGTTTTCACTGTCTCTTTTGGTT